TGTTCCATTGGACATGGAAGAATTAAGTGACTCCGTGGTATCTGGGCACTTTAGACTATTCCCTAAGCTGCTGTGTGTCAAGACTGAGGCAGATCCAGAGGAATCTATTAAGTGCTGTGGGGATGAGCCACTCTGATGGAATTCATCCACATCATAGAATTCATCTTCACTTCTAGAATAAGGGAACTCTGGGACTGTGTTTGGAAACAAGATGACATGGCTTGGAGAAGTTAAACTGCTTCTAGGTGGTGAGTGCCCACTGCCTGTACTATTTGGTGTTGGAGTCTGATGATGTCCCAAGGTAGCTAATACAGGTCCAGCTGGTAGAGAAGATGGATGCTGCTCTGACTTACACAACTGAGCAGGTTCTGGAGGTAAGACAGTCTGGGAAGGCATTGTGTTGATCACACGTTCCAAGGGACTAGGTTGGTATATTGCATCTACAGGATTAATAGTCCTTTTAGCGATCTGCAGCAACACAATGCAGTGTTTAATTGATTCTACCATGCTATTTGTTGTTTCTTTGAGAGTTGCAGTTTTCTTTCTCTGTTCATCATCTTTGCAGTTTTGAAGTTTGTCATCGAAAAGCTTTAACTGCTCTATCAAGATTTGTAGGTAAGCATCAGCCTCTGTTAAGTTTTTTATCAAAGTTTTGGACACTAGGGAACAAATCCTGAATCAAACCCCCAGGGGGTGTCGGGAAGGAGGCAGGGAGAGAACGATATCGATATTCGTGCCGGCGGCCCCCGGCAAACAGCAGGGTCCCTGGGGACTCAGGGGTGGGAGCCGTCCCCTCCCTCTCCCAGGCCCTCCGGGTCTAATTACTCAGCAAGTAGCCATCAAGAAAGCCGTTCGCCAAGGCCCCTGCACTCTGTGCCTCCAGGGGAGGGAGATGAGGGCCGCTTCCGAGCACCCGCTCTTCTCCACCGTCTGCCGGATCACCGGGCTGCTGCGCAGTCGGTCCGGTCCGGTTCAGCCGGTCCCTCGGGACAGCTCCTCGCCGCCTGTGTAAACTAATTTTTGAATGGTTTTTTCCCCCATAAAAGTGTTTAATAGTTGATTCTGATTTCCTATTAATTACTGGATAAATATTTATTTTAATTAAGTCATTAGCTTATTTAATAGATTATTATTAGAAAGAACAAATTTTCTAAAAATAGTGTTTTTTAAATTAATACCAACAGAAAATGAAATTTTCCTCTTAGTTTCTATATATTTATTACTATTTTCCACTCCCAAAATGAGTCACAGAAATCCAATTTTTATGTAAGTCTATCAGTTAGATATTTTCAGCCTCTTCAAATATTCTGGAATTCCTGTAATTTGACTTTCAGTTGTGTCATTGAATATTTTTTATTGGCTGTACTTTAAATCTGATTCTTCTACTTGGATTTTCCATTATTGACCAGGTCTATCGTTAAGAATCTGTATTATTTTGAAAGCTATTTACATGCCACACTGTAAATATAAGAGTCAGTTATCTTCATTGGCTTAAGACATTTCTTCTCTGTTCCCCTCAACATTACACTAAAGTTATACAATGACAGTGATTTGTATTTTTATTATTCATAATTGGTAACAGAAGTGTTCTTCAGTGACCAGGTACTGTTTTTGAAATGCCAGTTATAAACTTTCTATTTGTTGATAGGCTGGCTGCTTACCAACAGTCTCCTCCCTTTATACACATTCTTTATGCTTTGTTTTATGATCTTGATTCTCTCATTTTTTTACTTTGTAAGTTGCTCTTAATATGTCATTTAACCTGTTTCGGTCTTGTAAAAATATGCCTGTTAGGTTGGGTACACAAAGGGCAGTTTTCTTGGGGCCTGCACTAACCCAGGCAGTGTCCCTGATTTCATGCCATTCTGTGAATAAACATCCAAGTGAAAAACGTTCTTGTTAGTGTCACGAGAACTAGACTTTAGATACAGTTACTAAAGCAAGATTTTGATTCTAGCCTTGAAGAAATCCCGTGTATAGCAGATTTACTTTTATATACACAGGGGTACTGTGTGTGTGTGTGTGTGTGTGTGTGTGTGTGTATTTTTTCATTTGTGTAGGTCACTGTTTCAGCATGTTATTTTTAACCTGATTTCCTGTGATATTTTCATAGTTTGTCTTTACATATACTAGCCAGCAAGATTTTGATGACCTTTATTTTCTGTAGTTTATCTTCTGAAAACAATGGATATATATATTCCTTTTTCTAAGGAACCCTACCTGCTACCTCAAAGATAAAGTTTGTATTGTGCTTGCCTGAGTTGTAAATAAGAACCACTTGACTTTTATTTTTATTTTTTTCTTCAAAAGCATAATAACATTTTATTTTATTTTTAATTTTTATTTTACACTGGAGTATAGTTGATTAACAATGTTGTGTTAGTTTCAGGTGTACAGCAAAGTGATTCAGTTATACATGTATCTATTCTTTTTCAAATTCTTTTCCCATTTAGGTTTTTACAGAATATTTGGCAGAGTTCTCTGTGCTCTACAGTAGGTTCTTGTTGGTTATCTATTAGAACCACTTGACTTTTAAAAGCCGCATTTAATATATATTACATCATAGTTTATTGATTACATTTGATCATCAAAATCTCTTGCGCGAAAGAAGGTTCCCTTCCTCTTTCTCTAGAGGACTGTTTCATATCTTTCTCTTCAAATTTGTAACATCACTCTCAGCTGATAACCTTGCTTCTTCCTATTTTACAAAGAAAAGGAAAAAATAATTGAAGGAATGAGCAGGGAACTTCCAAAGACTCTGACCACTATAAAAATCTACCTACTTCCAACTGTTCCCACATTGAGAAATATGCTAAAAAGAAGTAAAGTATTTATATAATACTATTCTGCTTTTCCATCTATAACCGTAAATGTAGTATCCCCTTTTCTAACTAACGTTTGAACGCTTTCTCATCATCCCCTTTTTAATTACTTAAGGATATCACTTCACTATTTCTTCTCTCTCTTGATTACCATTATTGACTTTTTTGTTTTGTGCTGGATCGTTCTTGTCAGTGTACAGTTATGCTGCTAGTTCGCTAGTCTTAAAGAATCAAAAATCTTCTCTTGACCCCGTTTTCCCTACCAATTACTACTCCCTTTCTTTTGTTCCCTTTTGCATCAAACTCCAAACGCTTCCATACCCACCATCTCTATTCTCTTTTCCCAGTCTCTTAAATCTACTTTTATCAGACTTCAACTAACGAAAACTGCTCCTATTACTAGTGACTTCCATGTTACTGAATCCAGTGGTCAGTTCTTTGTCTCCATCCTACTTGATCTCTTGGCAGTAGTTGTCATCATTTACTTTCTCCTGCTGGATATGCTTTCTTAACTTGGCTTTACGGGTAACTCTGGTTCTTGGTTTTCCTACTTAGTCACCTTTGCTGGCTACTTATCTTCTTTTAGAATGTTGGAGGGTCTCGGGTCCATCTTTAGAACTCTTCTCTTTCTACACTTATACTTCTAGAGTAATTAGAATTTAAGAATTTTCCCCCCCCACACTGTAGCTTATTTCTTAGAAATTGTTGATTATAGAAGAGAAAATAAAATACTGCTGTTTAAAAACTATCTTTTGGACTTTCTTGACCGCATCTTAAAGTTTGCGGTGAGAACTGTGGACCTTTGGGAGAGTGACCATCTAGTGGCAAGGGTTGGAGAGGTGGATAAGGCTCTTTTATTTAAAGATCATTGTGATATAATGTAGTAACTCTTAGGGCATGATAGAAAATGGATATTGTATTTCCTTATCTCATAAACCTTAAAGGTATTTTTAAAAGGAATTTTATATAAACGTGTGTAATGTGTTGGCATTATTTTCTGTAACCTCAAGCATGTCCATATAGATATCTGCAAAGGATGAAATTTAAGAAGGAACGTTATGAAAAGATTCTGTATCAGATCAAATTTTAGAGCCACTGTTAAAAACATAAAAGTAAACATTGAGAAATACGGTAAAAAAAATGAATTAAAACACATCATACCACTGCCTAAATGCAGTTTATATTTTGAAATATTTCTTCAATCTAGTCTTGTGCAGTTTAAAAATCATTCTATGATCATATAATATCCTTCATTTTGTGAAAACGTCCATGTTTTCACAGATTTTTTTTTATGAACATTATGTTTAGGGATTGTACTAAATATATCCCATCTCATGGGTTCATTTGTTTTGAACATTTGGGTTTTGATTATTTTAATTTACATTTACATTTATTTATTTATTTATTTATTTATTTATTTATTTATTTAGTGGATAAAGCTGCAGTGAGTATCCTCTGCATCATTTTTTTTTCTGTTTTAGGATTACTTCCTTAGGATAGATTGCCAGAAGTGGAGTGACTGGGTCAGAGGGTATGAACTTACTAACGTTTTTTCTTTTCTCTTTTTGAAATAAAAATGTTTATTTATTTGATGTCTAGTTGATTTATATTCATTATGAAAAATGAAAATCATAGTGATTATATTTGGTAACTGTCAGAAAACTGTGTCTAAAGGCAAGATTCTGTGATCCAAAAAGTTTGGGAAATTCCTAAAGTTCAAAAAAAAGCCTTTTAATCTTGGTTTATCTCAGCATTTCCTGAACTTAACTGAGCATTGAATAGGTTTTTTTGTGATACACTTCTTAACATTTTGTAGAAGTTTGACAAAGGGTATAGTTTATGAGCTGCTGATCTAAAATTTAAAAATGTTTTATTGGTTAGATTATGTTTTATTGGTCAAAGCAACTAAACTATAAACCTTTGTTCTAAAATTATTCTTAAAAGGAGATTAAAATAAAGCTGTTTACTATATGATTTTTGTGTATGTCTTTATAAAGTCTCATACTTTTATAATTTAAACTTTCTATACTGACTCCAAAAGAACATCTTAATGTCTCCATGGCATCAAATACTTTTTACAGTCTTTAATGAAATTTGGAATATAGACATATAACATAAAAGTAGAAGATAATGTAGATTGTACAAACCTTTTTTCCCTCCCCCCATTTTTCTCTACAGAATGTGAAAACCTTTGCATCTTCTGATAGTCTAGCCAAGGTCCAAGAAGTAGCAAGCTGGCTTTTGGAAATGAATCAGGAACTGCTCTCTGTGGGCAGCAAAAGACGACGAACTGGAGGCTCTCTGAGAGGTAACCCTTCCTCAAGCCAGGCAGATGAGGAGCAGATGAATCACGTGGTGGAGGAGGAACAGCAGCAGCAGCTAAGACAACAAGAGGAGGAGCACACTGCAAGGAATGGTGAAGTTGTTGGAGCAGAACCTAGACCTGGAGACCAAAGTGATTCCCAGCAAGGACAATTGGAAGAAAATAATAACCGGTTTATTTCAGTAGATGAGGACTCCTCGGGAAACCAAGAGGAACAAGAGGAAGACGAAGAACATGCTGGTGAACAAGATGAGGAGGATGAAGAGGAAGAGGAAATGGACCAGGAGAGTGATGATTTTGATCAGTCTGATGACAGCAGCAGGGAAGATGAACATACACATAGTAACAGTGTCACAAACTCTAGTAGTATCGTGGACCTGCCTATTCACCACCTCTCCTCCCCGTTCTATACAAAGACAACAAAAGTGAGTACATTTAGTCTGCTCTTCACCTGAGAAAGTTTACATATCCGTATTAATTGTAATGAAACTTTCCTCGCAGTCTTTGTAGTATTGCAAAATTAATCTTCAGATGTGTAGTAATAAAATGAACTAAGTTTTGTTTTACAGAACGTTTTAGAAAGTATTAGAAATAGAAATACTGATAATGGGACAATGTTATTACACATGGAGAGAGGATATTTGATCCTATTACTATGAAAAATCATTAATAGCAAATTTCATTATCAATTTTGTCCCTGGGACAGGGGTTAGTAGGTTGCATGTAGTGGAGAGGGTTGGAGTGAAACATGGTTTGTGTAGATCAAGTAGTGAAGGCTCTTTTCTTATTTACCAAGTGCAGCTGGGCTGGTGGGCTGTGTATTCACAGGTGTTACTCCAAGACACTAGTTACTGGAAGTTACCTCATAATTAGTTTTCTTATTATCATGAATAAGATATATCCTTTGTAAATAGTTTTCTCTTTGTTATGTAAACAAGGTAAAATTACCATCTGAATATTAGTATTTGGTTGTTGGGGAAATCTGAGTAGGTATTTTTAAAAGTTAAAATACTGGATGCTGACATATTTAAGATGAAACATTTTTCCTACATTATAAAACAACAAGAATGTATGATGCTGTCTTCACTGCTTGTTTTCTTCTAGTTATTTTATTAAAGTTAAAGCATTTAGGAACCCCAGAGGAATTGTTTTTTTTTTCTTGATTCCATTTTAGTGGAACACTCCATTTGCTTCTCCAGGCAATTTGAATATTAAGTATAGGATAACCACACCATTTTGGTTGGTATTTGACTGTGAGAAATAGGAGGTGATATGAAGATGCACTTAGATTCCCAACTTTCGCTCAAGTTACTGCCACTACTTCCCTTGCTTGCAGTTTTCCTTTCCCTTTGTTCCTGGGAGACAGCTCTGTTGGATCTGCCTCCTTATCTCATTTAGCTGGTGGTAGCCCATGGAACTAGCCATAGCCATGTTTTAAAAGGTGGACAGTTAGATTCTTGTCTAAACTAGAGGAATCCTTGTCAGTTCAGGGACTTGATGACTAATCTAGTGCTGAGAGACAGTTCCATTTTATACAGTCCTTGGAGGCTGTGCCAGAGTTAAGGACTGGATACACTGTCACTATCACACACTGTCACTGCTTCCCAGAATTGTCCTTGCTGGATAGGCAGGGAGCTGCTGTCTGAGGTGGAAGCGGGAAGTGTTTGAGTAAATATGGAATTGCCAGTACTAATTCTGTGGGGTGGCATGTGGGCTTCTTTCCTCAAAAGATTCCTGGAAGTATCACTTAAAATTGCGGTCATAACAGGGGGCAGGGATTGTGGAGAGAAAGAGGAAGCATTTCTCACTACCCAATCTTTCTATTGTATTCCCTTTCCCCCATCAAATTACAGTCAAAATGAAATGATATAGTGTCTGGGCTTTGCTTCAAAATAATACTGAAGGGGAGAATAGGAAGGAGGGTATAGATTGGCCATGAGTTGCTAATTGTTGAAGCCGGGTTATAGGGACATGGGGGTTCGTGGGTATTCTATGTAGTTTTTCAAGTATGTTTAAAGTTTTCCATGATCAAAAAAATTAAGTTGTAAAGAATATGAACACACACACACACACGCACACGCACACGCACACGCACACACACACGCACACGCACACCCCACCCAAAGTTGGAAATGAGAGTTTTCTTTACATATCATGGTCTTGTTCACTAGCTCCTCAGTCATCTAAGTGCTGACTTCTCTTCTGCATTGAATTTCATTTTCTCTGTATTTTGGTGCTATTGAAATTACAGGAAATTCAATAAGGACATCATGTGCATTTTGCTGGAGTTAGAATTTATCTTAATCAATATTTTAGGCAGTGTTGCTAAGTAGTGGTCTATATAAAGAGGAGAGAAAGTAAAAAGAATTATACTCAGAATGAATGAGGTATGTAGCATAACTTCTATCCTTTTTTTCCCTTCAGGCTTCTTCGCTCATAGATCTTTATCTTTGCATGCTTTCTGGTTCTTTATCATTTAAAAATTAGATAAAAATCATGAATATCCATGTAGAGTAGACTGTGAGTTAAACAATTCTTTGGAAAGGAGCATTTTAATTCAAATTATATCTTACTTATTTTACAGACATTAAAATAAATAATGGCTGAGGTAGTTTTTCCTCTTATTTGCTTACTTTTAAATTTTACAGTGAATCATTTATTTAGCCCATAAACAACACACAAACAGATTTAACATCATCCTCTTTAACTTGACCTGCAATAAAATAGCTTAGACACTCGGTTTAATAGTTACATTGCTGTATCAGTTTTGCTTCGGCTTGTGAACCTTAAACTCTTTCTAAAACTCTTTCTAAAACATGTTTATCCCTAATTTCCCTAGCCTGTCTGCAAGTTTAGATTTTATTTAATTGGTTTGATCTAAGAAGGAAGTGGCTTCAAGTGGTGGTTTTCATCCCTTTTACCATCCCTGTCTCAAGGTGTTGAAGTGGTACTTTGGAACGCAGCCAGATGGCTCTAACACAACCAATGGCAAAGCTCAAACCTTTTATAGTGCAATTCGCCCAGCTCATATACCTGATCTCTTGATTTCTTTCCCTCAAGGTTACTATCTCAAAAGAGGAAATTTATATCTCTCCTATTTTTTTCCTGAGAATTCAGTTGGAGGAATAGGGATTTAGTATTTAATTGCATTATCTTATTTAAGAAAGAAGTTTAATCAAAACTAAGCCATTCAAAACAATGCAAAGCTATCAATGAATTCTGCTGCATTTTAAATTAAAAACTAGAAAGCCAGCTAGACGAAATGTATCTTTTCCCTAAAGGAGAAGTCATCATAGTGTTCAGTAGGAAAATTTCCAGTGTACAGATTTGACGGGTGCCTTATATTTCCCTTCCCTTCAGGATGAAACCATAAACAGAACTTTTAGATATGTCTTATACAGATTAGCTACCTCCTTAAAAACAAACATACTGAATTTAAGTCTGTTTCCCCTAGTGACTCTTGAGTTGTGAATACAATTATTGTGTTATACATACAAGGCCACAGGAGTGGACTGAGTACTAACAGCAACAGAGCTAGATGTGTTCATGTGTTTATGTGAGTGTGTGTATGTGTGTGTGTGTGTGTAAAATGCACTTTTGATATGCTATTTATCTTGAGGTCATTTGCCTTAATAAGTACGGCAAGAATATAAAACTATTTGATTGCCAAGGCAGAGATGCCCTTCTAATAAGTAGGATGTCAATCTGAGATTGGCTCGTTTTCCTTTTTGTTTGTTCTTGAAACGCTTCTTCAGGATCATTCCCAACAACATTTTATTTTTTCAACAACATTTAAAAAAATCACCTAGTACTGTGTTACTTCAAAAGAAAATGTCAGTCACCCATGTGTATAAATCTTTTAACTACAGTAAACAGGGGGAAAGCTCTCACTGTTTCAAAATTACTTTTTTTGGAGCAGCTCTAAATTATTGATTATTATAAACATAAGACACTTTAAACTCTTGATCATTATAAACATAAGACACTTCTACAGATATTACCCTAAGCCACAATTTCTTTTAAATCCTCTTAAATTATAACTTTTGAGAAGAGTAGAGGTATAATAAGTATTTTTAAAATTCCATTTTTTAATGTTAATATGGGATTAGCCTTCTACAGTCTTACCCAGCATACCTTTCAAATGTTTTTTTTTGTTTGTTTCTTTTGTTTGTTTGTTTGTTTTTGGGCAGTTTCTTAAACATACCCTTTGGACCACTAGACTTATTTGGCATTCCCGAACATGCTATATATGCAAATATGATATTAATGAGAAAAACCATTTTTGGTCCTTCATTGTATTGGGCTTTTCTTTGAAAGCATATTGGAAACTATCAAAACTCTTAGGACAATCCTTTTCCCCCCTAGTCACCAAAGATTTATTCTAATGGGAGTCTATGGCAATAATATAAATTAGAAATTCCAGACTTTCTTAATGTTAAGAGTCAAGGACAGTGGCAGTCAAGAATTTGTGCTTATTGAGTCCATACTGTTTGCCAGTTCCTGTGAACTTGCAAACAAACTTAAGTAAGCAGAGCTTGCAGAGAGGCCAACACCCCAAAATTTCACTGTAAGTGGCAAGAGATTTTAAGGCAGATCTGCCTAATTTCAGAAAAACCCTTTCTTTTCATGCGCTATGCTGCCCCCTATGGTAGAGTTTGGCAAACATTACTAAACAAGATCTTCAGCAGAATTTTAAGTCTCTAGGTTCTAGGCTTTGGAGTATGGTGGTTTTCTAATACCATTATCACATTTGAAATCAACAGAGCTATCCTTTAGAAAGTACAGATTGCTTAGTTAAATGCTTTTCTTTGTGATATTTAGCAAGTACTGAAGTTATGAGGGCTCAAAGGCTAGTTATAACAGGAAGAAGTAAGAATGAAATTTGAGACTGGATAACAGATATTAATTCTCTCTGGATTCCATCAAATGTGCTTCTTAATTAGTGGTTGTGTGCCAGCTATTTCTGTAAATTTGGTTAGTCTGCCTGCAAATTCGAAATTCAAATGCCCATCTCTTCAGTTTTAACTCCCTGTGTCAACAGTCTTTTATTTATATATATATATATATATATATATATATATATATATTTTCTTTTCCATTGTGGTTTATTAGAGGATATTGAATATAGTTCCCTGTGCTATACAGTAGGACCTCGTTGTTTATCTGCTCTATATATAATAGTTTGCATCTGCTAACCCCAA